CCCTGTAAACATCGTCTCTTGAGAAACCACTGAAGCAATGAGGCTGAAACTACACATGCTTGTTCCCACTGATTACGTGAGCTGAATTTATTCAGAAGGTTCGTAACTGTTTTTCAATATATTTAGCAAAACTGAAAGAAACCTTATAATAATTTTGTTCAAAATGTAACGAACTGGCTATACTCCACAAAAAGAGTAACGCAATGGCGATACTGATACACATTTATGAAAGACAAGAACACTTAAATGTTAAGGGAAGAATAAATATGTAATTTGGTACCAAATTAATATTATCAATAGTAAAGACAATCTTTTTATGGATGACAACTTCTTTATTATTTATTCTATTAAGGTACGACGTTTTGGTATATATTATAGAGGTTATCACGCGAGTGTGTTTTGGGATGGTAAATATCCTGCATTAAGAATAAACATTGTATTTAGCGAGCCAAAATACATAGTGTTTATTCCTATTTACCATCCCCAAACACAAAAGCATGATAACCTCTTTATCATATAATGTCATTCTTTAATTCTCTGAAACATTGCGAGTTTTCCTGGAATGCGCGCATTAATATTTATTACGTCACAGGGTAAGTGTGTCAGTCGGACAGTGACAGTAGCCAATATAGTTCCAACTGAAATCTGTTTCTTATACAGTGGCGAAGCAACATATACGCAAAACAACAATTGTTTTTATATATACTTGCCTTTCGCGGCAATCCACCGGTCTGTCCGCTAGATTCAGTTTCAGTTTATTATTCTCCAAACCACCGTCGGTGGTACAAAAGAGTACAAAAGTACAAGCATGTAAACAAGGTATTAATATGTGACAAGATGACAGTATGTCATGCATGAATATGTTATATCTTTTCTGTTTTGTGTTTTCTTACTGCTTTAAATATTTCATCAATAAATCTCGATAGGTTTTTAAGATACCTCGTGTTTTGGCTGGATAATAACCTCTTGAATGTATATAAATTAGACCAATTATTTTGGTAAGCAGTTGGTAAGTATACACTTCTATGTTTTGACAGAGCCTGGCATCTAAACAGATAATGGAATTCGTCTGCAACTGAAGGAGAGTTGCACAGTTCACATACACGATCCTCTTTCTTTACATTATTCCAACGGCCGGTTTCAATAGGTAGATTATGGTTACATGTTCTGAATTTTAAGATTGGAATATACATATTTTTTGTCATTAGTAGGTATCTTTCAAATTTTGGTTTTTCTGTCAGATACTGATAACAGTAGCCTTTACTGCTCAATGCCATATTGCATCTCCATTCTTGTAGGAATTGATCCTGTAGTATCTGGCCTACCTTTGCAACCAGCCATGTGGTATTACAAGTATAAGGGTTATAGAATATATGATTTAGTCCACAGTTATTTAATATAGTTTTAATCCATTCTAGCCAGGGATTGCTTACATCATGATTCCTTTCAACAATGTGATAAATCATTTGTGAAGGTTTCTTATCACACATAGGTGTTGCGAGGTTATGCCAGAACTTAATTACACGTTTTGAGATAGTTATGCGTAGAGGTTCTCTGCCTAATTCGCCATAAACCATAAAGTTTGGAGTTGATGCTCTTAATCCGGTAGCAAATTTTAAAAATGTTAAATGGACACGCTCAATAATTTGTAAATTTTCGTACCCCCATATTTCTGTACCATATAACAAGATAGGTGATACCATAGAATCAAACGCCGATATAACGCAATCGAGAGGAAGATTGATATTTCGTGCTCTCTTCAGGAGACAGAACATAGCTTTCTTGGCATTAGAGGCAATAGATTTGATTGCGCTTATCATCCTTCGATTTCTATGGAATGTTATGCCAAGGTAAACATAGCTATCTACTATCTCGAGGTGTTTTCCACCAAACATGAACTGGAGTTTACTTCGCTTAGCAGGACCACTGCCAAATATAATAATTTTTGTTTTTGAAATGTTAACATCTAGTTTCCATTTAGTGCAGTATAATTTAAACGAGTCAAGGGTTTTCTGTAAATCGGCGGGGCATCGACTAAATAAGACTGCGTCATCAGCAAACAGTAAAGTTATAAATTGTAATAATACGTTTGCGTCATCACCAAGATTATAATCAACATTTATACCGTGACAGTTATGTTCCAATAGAGATTGCTCGAGGTCATTTATGTACAATGAGAATAGTAATGGGGATAAATTTTCCCCTTGTCTAACTCCCGGAAGGCTTGGGAAAAAAGCTGATATTTCGTTGTTAACAACAACACACGATTTAATACTGTTGTACAAATTTTTAATTAGGATGAGAAATTTACCCCTGACGCCACTATTCAACAGTTTGTGCCAAAGACCTATTCTCCACACTTTGTCAAAAGCCTTGGTGAAATCTATAAAAGCACAGTACAACTTTTGTTTGCTATACTTAAGGCTCTGCATTAACATATTGATGATAAACATGTTGTCTACTGTTGAGTAGTTTTTCCTAAATCCAGCTTGTACGGGAGACAAGATGTTATTGTTATCAGTGAAAGATGACAATCGTGTATTTAGTATTCTCGTAAAAAGTTTCCCCAAGCAACTCAAAATTGTGATTGGTCTGTAGGAGTTTGGATCTAGTGGGTTACCTTTCTTTTTAAATACTGGCTTTATCACACCGGTTAGCCATGCATCTGGTATGTTTCCGGTATTGAACACGGCATTAAAGTAATCAAGATATACGGGTGCTAATAATTCTAAGGAGTTTACTATATACTCATTTGCAATGCGATCTATACCAGAAGCTTTATTATTTTTCAGGCTTTTTACAGCTTTGCGTATTTCTTCTATTGTGATATCACTATTGAGCATTTCATCATTGTGCATAGTAGAATTTGGATATTCTTCATCAATAATTGTGTCTGTATTCATGTCTTTATTTATATCTTTATAGAATTCATAAAATGTTTCGATATCAGGCTCAATGTTATTTACCTTACTCTTATTTTTGTTCAGAGCGTTCCAAAATTCACGTGGACTATGTTTTCGATTGGTTCTGTATAAATTACATAAATCGTTTCTATGTTTCTTGATATGTTTGTCTAAGCATTTCTTATATGCCTTCGATTGCTCTCGGAAAAGCTTTCTATTTTCAATAGTGTTAGTTTTCTTAAATTTCTTTTTAGCCTTACGGAAGTAGTTCCTTTGTTTTTTACATTCGTGACCGAACCAAGGTTTTTGCTTTCTCTTAGTGGGAGCGTCCGCATCACGCCGGTAGCAAGGTCTCACCCCGAATGTTGCACATGCAGCGTCGACTAGGACATGTGCGATTTCGTTTGCTACATCATTCATAGTGCTTGGTTCAGCAACTCCCAAACGTAATGACTTTGCTAATTTGACAAGACAATTAATCCGGTCTCTATCGATATTATCAAAATATATCTGGCTTTTTGTATTCTCGAATCTTTTGGGCTTAGGTTCACAGCCCGTCTTATTTTTCACTGTTTTTGTAGTGCGGTTTTGACTTTCTGAACTTTTTGATTTATCTAGAAAAAACCTTATTGGGCAATGTACATCAGAAAACAATGAACAGTAACTTTTAATTTCAAAATCCTTAAATAAAGGAAGACACATTGTCGATGAGATTACATAATCGATCACACTCTTGTCCAGACATGTAGTGTTCCCAACCATTTTATCTTGACCCATACGCCCATTGCATATAAATAAGTTCAGATTCTTGCATAGTTCTATCAGTTTTGCACCCGAGTTATTAACTCGTGATGTATCTTTTGACGACCTAACCCTTGGAAGAGAAAGATCATCGAGTACTGCTTCAGGTTCGAGTTCAGATCTCAAATCATTTATGTCTATATCCAACTCATCAAGTATGTGTTTCTCTATGGTACAATAGTCACACAGGTTACTAGTTTTAGCGTTAAAATCGCCCATCAGTACAACATAATCACTCAAGGATAGAGTATGTAATATGGATTGTTCAAGTTGATAGTATTCATCTTTATTAAAGTATTTAGAATTTTCGGGTGGAATATATACTACTCCTAGATACAGGTTTTGCTCGATATCAAATAGCTCCTTAGAGATTTTAACCCAGAGAATATACTCACACATTTCCTCAATGGGGTTGGCATATTTAGCATAATTTTCTTTTATTGCAAAACCGACACCTCCTGATCTTCTTAAAGCACTGCTCCTATGTTGGAGATAGACATGGTAACCCTCAATATGGATATCATCGAGAATATCAGTTTTGGTTTCTTGGCAGCCTAGTATATCATTGTTATCAATTAGATCCATGAACTCGGGGTATTCTAATCGCCTCCTTATTCCACACACATTCAAATTTAAAAAGTGCAAAGAAGTAGGGAGATTGTCAGAAGCTTGGATATTGTCCTTAGTAATGGTTAGTGGTGGTATACATGTATTTACAGTATAATGGTGTTTGTTAGGCAGTTTAGGAGTCCCATCGTTGAAAGTGTTAAAACTAGGGTCATCAATATTGCGAACACTATTCATATTTATGGCATAATCTTCCGTTGTTCTCAGTCCCAGTTCAACATTGCGACTGAGTGTAGCGCAACCAACATCACTGGTCTCGATCGCATCGACAGCGTCATGTTTTTCGGTATGATGATAATGTGGGGTTTCATGACCAACCCACTTCATACAAACAGAGTCATCAGCTGACACAGTGGAGTCAGGCAGTGTCTTAGTGATCCCAATTGGGGTATGACATAAAACATTATGAAAAGTTTCCTCCCTGTGCACTTTGTACACAGGGTCACACACCATGTGGTCTACACTTGGCAGCGTGCTATCGCAGTTACCAACAGTATTTGATACTCTACAGCATACAGAATGAAATTGCCTCACCGGAATATCCTGCAGTACACGGTTATGCCTGTACACGTCGCTGTCAGAGGCAGTCACACTGTCTGTATATGGTTGGGCATATTTGGTGACAGGCTGGTGACATGGTGTGATCGCCTTCTGTCCACCAGCGTATTCCTACGCGCGGCTCGGCTTGGGTTGTGCAGATGAGCTCTGCTGGGGGGCCCGATACGGGGGTGGTATAGCAGGTTTCTGCGGTACATTATCAATAAAGAGTCTATCTACAGATATGTGCGCTTTCTTGCCAGAATTCCTTGCTTCCCTCAGTAGTGGCATTAATACTTCCCTTCTGTATTTACCCACTTCTTCCGGGAACTGTTCGTTGATACTGTAATTTGTACCCTTCAACCTTTTAGCCGCCCCCTTAACTGCATCTCTCTCATGAGTGTACAGAAACCTGGCTATGAGTGGGCGGGGCCGTGCATCAGGTCCTGCTTGATAGTTTTTACGACCGATCCTGTGTACCCGTTTGAATTTGATAGGATCACTATCCATGTGGAGCTCATGCTTAATAAAGTCCCTCAGGACCTTCTCGCACTCTTCCAGAGGGGCTTCAGGAATGTTTGTGAACACGAGATTGTCACGCATGGACCTACATCGTAAGTCAACGACAGACTCCCGAAGGTTGACATTGTCAAGTTGGAGCTTTTCAAAGACTGGACTGTGCTTATCAAGTTGGGCCTTCATCATATTGATTTCTTTCTCTATCTTTGATTTGTCAGCTTTAAAATCTTCATAGCTAACACTAACAAAGTTCACACTCTGTTCAATATCATCCACGCGGTGTTTCAGCGTATCCAGATCTTTGACCTTTAGTTCTAGCCTTGCCACATTATTTTTTATCTCTGCAACATCCTTCTCAATATCATCAAGCTTGGTTAGTTTCGAATCTATTTTTTCAAGCTTGGTCATAATGGCGGACATGTCAAGGGTAGGGTGGTGAGGTAGCGGGGCATAAGGACTGGGTTGTTGTAAAACTGGCCTGGTGGTTGGTGGTACATCTGGGGTGGATACAGAGCTGCCTGTGGGGTGTACACGGTTTCCAAAGACTGCCCTTTGTCAAAGTGAAACTTCTCTAACCCTCGTCTATGAGACGTCACGGCCACGTTCAGACGTTGTTGATAGTCGGCTTGTCTTGTCATAACGTTAAGAAGTGCAGTCAGATATACACACAGGTAACAATTCAAACATATTTCGGCTAAATCCAACTATTATATTTTGTGGAAAAGGTTTCAAGCCGCAGAGGTCTACAAGCACAGATGTGGCAACTGATCCCGCTTGGATAGGCATAGTGCCCTCGCAAAATTGTTTCGAATTTATATTTCCAAAGTAGCCAAAACTTAAAACATGCCCTAGCTACGTCACACTTAGACACTGTTTTTCAGTATATTGGACTGTTCTTTTGATAATGGTAGCAATTATTCCTGTAGTTTATCCACATTCCCGATGGTTAATTTTGACTCGATCGCCGTATGACAAGTGCGACGCCATGTTTGTTTATAAACACTGAAAGTAGTTCCTTACTTGACCTTTGATATTTGACTCAAACGGATATCGTGTTTATCCGTTGGCTTTATCTTGCCGAGAAACCTACCCATTATATGAAATAGATCCTTATACCGTTGTCAAGAAAGACTGGAGTAAGACAGCACAGTAAAGGCTTATATACATCTAATATGGGTTATGACTGAGCAAACCCCACTCCATAATGTGCAAGGAAGGGTCAATGGACAGTACAACTTTTTGACGTTTTGACTTCAGGACGACACCTATCTTGCTCAGTGTGCACGAATCGTCTATGCTCACAACCAACAGCACAAAATCCATAGAGTGCCATGACCAGCAATTAGCCCATACCTTCTCCCCATTAAACACACCTGGGACATGATAGGGAGACGTTTGCATCAACGTCATAGGCCGCCGACCACAGTGGCTAAACTTCACCCGGCGTTTCAAGAGGTGTGGGATATTCTTACGCCGTACGCGTCGTCGAGTGAGTGAATGTTTGACGAATCGTGGCGGTATTCCTCACAACTGATAAAAAACGTCAACTAATATCTTTTACAAATTTGTAAAGTTTTTCCGAGTATCCCCTAGTTATTGTAAAGAGAACATTTCCATACGACAATGCTACATCACATACAGAAGCATTCGTATGTCATTCTTACTGACATTTCGTCCATGGGAAAGAGGTGCCAGTCAGTGACACACGAGATAGTGAGTTCTTTTGACCTTGACATTGTCATTGTCTATGTAATGATGTCTTACTATTGGATACGTGTCCAGTGGTGTCCAACTTGTAACATGCCATCACTATAAATTGAGAATAAATATACATACATTATATTCGCATGGCTCAACGGAGCATGAGATTTACAAGAGTGGAGTTTTACTTACATTACATTTAAAACAATGATGTACAGAAACAATAATGTGCCTGGTTAAGACATTATGGCAGTAGCGCTGGCACCCGGGATACCTAGCCTGACCTTGGTCTCTTTGTGACTCCCTCACTTGATCGGGACCAAGGCTTATATAGCAAATGTTACATGACCATGATTAAATCTCTAACATCAACAATGCTAAACATCGACAGTGTTGCGATGCTTGTTGAGGATGGTGTACAATGAAGGTACAAGGCAATGGAGGTAACCTGGATTAGCATCGGAGTGTATATTCAATGGCAGTTACGTGATTGAAGAGTAACTTACATTCTATTCCTTAAGAAGACATGCTATTTTAACCTTTAAAAACATTGGACATAAATGGGTCATAAATTTGTAATACTACATTACGACAGCAACAAGAGATGTAATTGGCAAAGATTAAAGGTAAGCATCACTCAGTGTGAAGCTTGTGTTTAATCTTTACATAAAAGAAATATATTCTTGCAAATTTACCATCAGGCGGGGCAGATATTATAAGACATTATAAATCTCAATAATGGTCATAACGCGGCCATCCTTTTTCACAATTTATTGACGTTTTGCATATGTGAGTTTAAGAATGGGACCTCACATATAGTTTTTCATGTTTTTACCTATGTTATTCATCTTGTTCATGAATCGCACTTTTACAGAGCATCAGATTGTTTCACTAAAGTGGAAATGATGTCACCGTAGGGAGTCCGGGTTAGAAGTGGTTCCCAGCAACCTATACAACGTTAATCGTAAGAGGCGACTTAAGTTCTATCCGAAATCCCAGGAAATAAACACAGTGAGTGAGTTGGGATAAACGCCGCTTTGAACAGTACTCCAGTTGTGTATATCGGCGTGTCAGCTTAATTTGTGAGGAAAGCCCGAAGTGCTGCAGGCCTTAGACGTTTACCACTTGATGTAACCCACGATTATGGGTCTGGTGCTAACAAACCTGGAAACATAATCTGGGCGAACCCAATTTTGATCCCACAAATCACAGGTTTCTGGCGTATCAAAGGGGCACAACTCTGCACGGCGAATTGCAGTGCCTTAGACGACTGCGCCCCCCGTGTCCCCGAAAACACAACACCTAAGCACTCACATAATACAATAGTGCATTATCTATCTGTTTGTTTACAATATTTCAAACCGTCTGATTAACAGACATTCATGTTCCACAACTTTGGATGCAGAAAAGTGACTGCACCTATAATGTCAAATCCTCTTGTTCCAGAACTTATCGACCGATGTCTCCTGATAGTTAGGACGCAATGCCTGCTAGGCACAACCCTTAATGCACCAGGGGCGAAATTGATTTAACGAGCAGCTTAGGAAGGGCAACCAAGTTAACAGCAGATAAAAGCTGGACCAGCTCTTTGCATTAGCTGCCGTTAAAAACTCCTAAAACACAATCCTTCACAAACAAAGCCATCCAAAATTAATCATCTCCAAAGATTTCTTAAACACACTCTAGTTTAGCTAGAGATTTCCACAGACTTACTTGTTCAACTGGACCTGTTCCTCCCTTACTCATATGGTGTACTGTGGTCCAGAGTTGTGCGAGATTACCTAACTTAAATGTAGTCTTTTTCGTGTTCATGTGAATATTTAAACCCCATTGTTTGATGTTTAGGCATTAATAGAAATACGAACAGGATAAAAGTAGATTAAATACTCGTATTCCACAAGAATAATGTGCAAATCGCGTCTTAATAGTGATTAAAAAAACCTGTTTATCATTTCGCTGATTTCGGCAATAGGTCATGCGGATAAATGTGGCCTTGTTCTGGCGCACTCGTGAAAGATGACTATGGTCGGCCATTTTGTCGGTAAACAATTCTCTGGTTAGCACGATGGACTACCTTTTAGCTCTTTTATCCTCGCTAAAATGTATAGTAAAGGGTGAGGATGTACACATTATTTAACAGTTGGATCAGGCATAATATTTTCAAGCTCTCTATCGAAACAATAATCCACGACTGAAAGTGTGGTTCAGCAATATCACAACCAATCTATGTATTTCCACGGTTGTAGAAGTCCACCTGAATAAATGCATTGTAGATTATACATTAACCAGTCTGGTCATGTTAAAATGTGTAGCAACAACAGCAACATTTTAGGTAAACTCTTCGTACATTTAACGCTTCTATGACTGATAAAGTTAAGGGAAGCATCTCTGTATAATTACACTCCCACGGCCACTAAATCATAATTTTGAAGTTTACACTGCAATGCAGCATCGGTATATGAGTACACGAAAAATGAGTTTCCAAACATAAAACAATGCTATACTCATTTAAATCACTGCAAAAAGGCACATGTATTGCATGTTATGATACCCAAATAACTAGATAATGGTGCCTCTTTCGAAATCCTTACGAATATCACAAATCTATATGCTATTTGTTGTTGGTCTCAGTTTGGTATGCCACTCTAACCAAATATTGAGAACACTCGAATCATGGCTGTGATCGATATTTGGTGTGAAGAAGAAACATTTTGCCAATGTGATACTATACTGTTCTAATTACGAACTCGAGGTTGGGATATATTTTATAATCAGTAAAATGTGTACTTTTGCGATGCTATAATTTGTGTAACAACAACAGATATGAGACAAGGACCATTATACTTTGATGTGATGTTACAGTGTATTGTTATAATTTATTTGGGTAAAGACAGATTAATGGCTTTCGGAAATGGCTAATAAAGCAGAAATCTTAGTACGTTGCACTTCACTGTCTTCCTTTGCATTGACATAGCAGACAATGCATACCACATACTGCATTGTCTGTCAGCCATAGTCGTCCATATCAGGACACATGCTTATTAATTGTAAGTTGTCTATTTTACCGATTTAGCTCACCTTCAGCTCTTAATTTTGTACTGTCATAGATAAACTTCCAATTCTCAAAAACACACATTATACAGACCCAAGTGGCATTACCTCATTTGGGTGCTCAGACGAATATATTATAATTGCAGCCAAACCAAGCTAAATGTCTCAAGCAAAATCAACATTGTATAGACGATGTCTGATTGCTCAAATTGCAGTTATTAAACAGACGATCAGCACGAAATGAAAGTTGACCAACGTCGGCAACGTCCCGAAAACAAATATATATTCGACTTTGTTTGTTTATTGTTTAACGCAGCACGCAACACAATAATCCAACGATATGACGGCAGTCTGTAAATAATCGTGTCTGGACCAGACAACCCAGTGATTCACATCATGGGGATCGATCTACGCAGTTAGGATACGATCATATGCATGAACCATGTCAATGAGTCTGACCACCCGATCCCGTTCGTCACCTCTTACGTAATCGCCATTAACGGCAAGCATGGGTTGCTGAAGACCTATTCTGACCCGTATCTTCACAGGTATTACTCATTACTGTATATGTTTCGGTGGGGTAGCCTAATGGTTAAAGAGTTAGCTCGTAACGCCGAAGCCTGGGTTCTTCGGCAGATACAGCAAAATGCCATCTG